CGCTATCTTGGAGCGATTGCGCGCTCCGACCCCCAATGCTCTTCTTGTTCTCTGGGTTGCACAGATCCTCAGGGCCCGGGCCTTCGGTTGATGTTGTGCAACACCAGGTCCATGGTAAATAAAGCCCCCCTCATTTGTGATCTCGTTCAGGAGGGGGGAGTGGACCTGGCAGGTATTACGGAGACCTGGTTGGGCCTGGAGGGGGGGTCCCCCTTGTTGAAATGTGCCCACCAGGTTTCCGTGCATTCCATCAGCCAAGGTCTCAGGGGAGGGGCAGTTGTTATCAAGGAAGGTCTTGATCCAAGGGAGACCACTGTGCCTCAGATAGCCGGATGTGAGTCCCTCCTTGTGAAGTGGGGCCGTGGGGGGCAAATGGGCTTGCTGGTCACGTGCCTGGCTCCCGCCACGTGGCGGCAGCCTTGCCTGAGTTGCTCAATATGATAGCCGAGGTGGCGGTTGATACCCCCAGGCTTATGGTCATGGGGGATTTCAACCTGCCATCTATCGGTGAAACGTCTGAGGCAGCTCGGGAGTTCATGGCTTCCATGATGGCCATGGACCTGATTCAATTAGTTCATGGCCCCACTCACATGGGGGGACACACTCTGGACCTGGTTTTTGTCTCTGGCCAGTGGTTGAATGATTTTGATATAGGGGATATTGTGATTGAGCCCTTGTCATGGTCAGATCATTCTCTCCTTTGACTTGACCTTCAAACCGTTACACCCCGCCGCAGGGAGGCGGAACCTATTAGGTGGTTCCGCCCCAGACACCTGATGGACCCAGAGAGGTTCCAGATGGAGCTTGGGCCATTCCCTGAGGTTCTGGCTCATGACGCGGCTGAAGACCTGGTGGCTGCCTGGGATAGGGCAGCTGCTGGAGCTTTGGACCACGTCGTGCCTTTGCGGCCTCTGACCCGGTGCCGATCCCAGGTGGCTCCCTGGTTTTCCGAGGAGCTGAGGGAAATGAAGCGCCGGAAAAGACACCTAGAGAGCAGTTGGCGAGCCAGCCAGTCCGAATCTGACTGAACATTGGTGAGGTCTCATATTAAGACCTACCTAGTGGCGATAAAAGCGGCAAAGTCTGACTACTTTTCCGCTCTTATTGCGTCTGCAGATAATCGCCCAGCCGCCCTGTTTAGGGTGACCCACTCCCTGCTCCATCTGGGAGCGCGGGAAGACCCCTTGGAGGGTAGAGCTGAGGATTTTGTACAGTATCTGCATGACAAAATCACTCAAATTCGGGAAGGCTTGGACTCTGATGGGACAGGTCATCAATGTACTTCCTCAACTCGGTCATTTCAGCAGGTGTCATGGAGTACATTCTGGGTTTTGGCAATTTGGCTCCCAGTTCTAATTCGATGGCGCAATCCATGGGCCGATGAGGGGGGAGGAAGTTACATTCCTCCTCACTGAAAACTTCAGCTAAGTCTGCATACACCTTACGAATCTGGTGTTCGCCTGGAGGCCCGTCTGAACAAACCGCTGCTGTTTCTGGCAGCTGGCCGTTATGGGTAGGCTGCTCTTTGGGTGGAGGGGCAGGGAATAATGGGCCAACCCCTATTCTGATTTTTCAGTATCCACCTTCCCATTTGATGGCGGGGCCCCATTTGTCCAGCCAAGCCAGGCCCAGTATGATAGATTCTGACATTTTGGGGGTTACTATAAATCGTATAAGTTCATGATGTTTCCCAATCTCTAATTTAACCGGTTCAGTAATATGGGTGGCAGGGACCGCCCCAATTAATGTTTCATCCACCTGGTGAAATTTAATTGGGCACTTTAAGGCTGTTGTCCTGATCCCCAATTGAAAGAGGCGGTGGTGAGGCCCCTCCTCAAGAAGCCCTCCCTGGATCCAGCGGTATTAGCAAATTATCGTCCTGTCTCCAACCTTCGCTTTGTTGCAAAGGTTGTTGAGAGTGTGGTTGCACGACAACTGCCTCAGTACCTGGATGAATCGAATTATCTAGATCCGTTCCAGTCGGGATTCAGGCCCGGGTACAGGACAGAGACAGCATTGGTCGCATTGGTTGATGATCTCTGGAGGGCTCGAGACAGGGGTTGCTCCTCAGTCCTTGTCCTATTAGACCTCTCAGCGGCTTTTGATACCATCGATCATGATATCATGCTGCACCGGTTGGAAGGGGTGGGGGTGGGGGGCACTGTTCTACAGTGGTTCTCCTCCTTTCTCTCTGACCGGTCGCAGTCTGTGTTGACAGGGGGGCAGAGGTCGACCCCGAGGCCCCTTATATGTGGGGTGCCACAAGGATCGGTCCTCTCGCCCCTTCTATTCAACATTTATGTGAAGCCGCTGGGTGAGATCATCCGTGGTTTTGGGGTGAAGTACCATCAGTACGCTGATGACACCCAGCTGTACATCTCCACCCCAGACCACCCCAATGATGCCCTCGAGGTGATGTCCCGGTGCCTGGAGGCCGTACGGATCTGGATGGGGAGGAACAAACTCAGACTCAACCCATCCAAGACCGAGTGGCTGTGGTTTCCGTCGTCCCGATATAGTCAGTTGGCGCCATCTCTGACTATTGGGGACGAGTCGTTGGCCCCCACAGATGGGGTTCGCAACTTGGGCATCCTCCTGGACTCACGGCTGTCTTTTGAAGAGCATATGACGGCCGTAGCCAGGAAGACTTTTTATCAGGTTCGCCTGATTCGCCAGTTGCATCCCTTTCTGGATCGGGACTCGTTACGCACGGTCACTCACACCCTTGTCACCTCACGCCTGGATTATTGTAATGCTCTCTACATGGCGCTCCCCTTGAGAAGCACCCGAAGGCTTCAACTGGTCCAGAATGCGGCCGCGCGGGTGGTAATGGGAGCAATGTGGCGCTCTCATGTAACCCCCCTCCTGCGTGAGCTGCACTGGCTCCCAGTGGTCTTCCGGGTGCGCTTCAAGGTTTTGGTTACTATCTTTAGAGCGCTCCATGGCTCAGGACCAGGGTACTTACGAGACCGCCTCCTGCAACCAATAGCCTCTCACCGACCAGTTCGCTCCCATAGAGAGGGACTCCTCAGGGTGCCGTCGGCCAAACAATGTCGACTGACGGCCCCCAGGGGGAGAGCCTTTTCTGTGGGGGCACCTACCATCTGGAACGGGCTTCCCCCGGAGTTACGAAACATCCAAGACTTACGCATATTTCGCCGTGCCCTGAAAACATTTCTATTCCAACAGGCTGGTCTGGCCTAACTCTCCCTTTTTAATTGGCTTTTAAACTGGCTTTTAAATTGGGTTTTAAACCTCTTTAGATAAATTTGGATGTTTTTTAATCTTTGAGCCTAAATTACTTAATCTGTTTCTTAATAGTTTTTAACTTCTATATGTATTTGTATTTATTATGGCTGTTCACCGCCCTGAGTCCTTCGGGAGTAGGGCGGTATACAAATATGAAAAATAAATAAGAAATAAATAAATGGAGTTGAGGTCTTTCTTTCCTAAGGGATCAGACTGGGGCAAGTCTGACTTGCTTTCAAACTCAGCATCTTGGCATTTACTCAACAAGGTGGTTACTTTGGCAGAGTGCAGAATTCTCTGAAGTGGGGGAGGGGATGTTCCCTGCTCCTGGGCACTCAAAAACAGAATGGTGACACTGGGAGGAGCCTAAGATGGCATTTGTTTCTTCACAGGTCCACAGGTTTGTTTCTTCACAGGTCCACTGACCTGGGACTATCTAACATTTAAAAAAATATTATTAATGACTTTTATATAAATAAAAGATTGACATGAAAATGTATAAAGGGTAACAAAAAGTGCAAGAAATAGTACAGATACAAAAAATTTATTCCACAAATAGATTTAGGACAAAAAAAGATATAAAGTATCTAAAGAAACTACTTCCAATCTTCTTTAAACAGTTAGTGTCATTATGACTCCTCTTTTTAAGATTAGATTACATGGTTCCCTTTTTCCTTGTATTTTATTATTTATTAAATAGGTTAATATAGCTGCCCAACTCACACACTGTGACTCTAGCTGGCATACATTACAAATCAACAATATAAAAACCCCTTAAACACACATACATATGTGTGATAGTAAACACAAGCCACATGATTGGCTCCAAATCAACCTGGAGTACCCAGGCCCAATGATAGAAATATGTTTTCATGACCTTTTAACAAGGGACCGCCTTTATTTCTGCAGGAAGAATGTTCCAAAGGGAGGAAGGCATACAGAGAAGGACCTCCTGTAGATCCAAAAATCACCATTTCCCTTTTTTTAATTTTCAACAGAAAGTCCATAAAAGGTTTCAAGGTTGTTGTTTTTTTTATATAAAAGTACATATTGTTTTATCCCTGACCAAACAGGTCAATTTTGCATTTCTGAAAATTCTGCCATCTTCATAATCCACTCCTCCATTGTGGGTATTTCACTATTACTCCATTTTGGTGCACATAAATCTGCTGCAATTACCAGGTACAAAACCAATCTTCTGGCCTGGCCGGATAAGGAGGTTTGCAAAAATCCGAGCAACTAGTAGATAACAAGGGAGAGTTTGCACTTCACATTCTATCTTTAAAGATGGACACTGAGATTCCTATATTCAGCGGCAGCCACTTTTTCTTCTCATGCTCTCGCGCCTGAATATTTTTTTTCCCTGACGTTAGAGTTTTTGTCCTGCTAAGAGGGTTTTCTGTTTCATGCTCGTTAGGCAGAACAAGAGGGTCGGCTGGTTGCTTTACTGGATCATTAGTTTCGTTCAGCTGCGCCTCTTTACAAAGAATTTCCATGCCAGAATTTGCTACCGAAAGATGCTTCTTACTCTGAGCTTTGTATTCCCAATCTTTACTTACCTTTTGCCCAGGTCTACCCGATTGTAACTGAAAAAAATCAGGACAACATCAAATGGCAACCTTCCTTTTTCCTGGGCTACTTTTCTCGGAGATTTCTGTTGGTAAGAGGAAGCGCGATGGCTTCCAACGCTCTTTTACCATTGTCGTCATCGCCCTTTGGGCGTGCTTTGTCCGGCGCATAGTGGAGAAAAAAGTCTAGCGCTTTGCGCACGCGCCGCCCGTCGATTTCTATTTCTGGTCATTTTGATATCAGGCGATTGTGAATAAGCAGGAGTCTGTCGGGAATAATTATCCAGGTGAATTCTTTGCCTGGATAGCGCTCTTCTGGGGAAGAAACCAGCGAGCACAAGGAAGAAATAAGGGTAAAAGTTCTACAAATTCTCGGTTTCATGGATGAGTCAAGTCTGAGGCGGCGCGTGTTTTAGTGTAGGGAAAGGCAGTTCTCCGCGAACTGCTCGAAAAAGTGGCTGCTCCTGGCGTCGCATCCCAGAGTGACGCCAATCTGGGAATCTAGCGCCGATTGCCCGTCGCTCACTTGAATGAGTGGGGGTTCCGGTGTGTATGATAAGACACGGAGAGCACGTGTGAGCGCTATATTGACTCCCTGAGGGATAAAAGTGGCGCGCCTTAAATCTCATGAATTTCAGTGGAATTGAGGCTAGCAACTCTAATCGGTTTATGTATCTTCTTCCCGTAACGGTCATGGTGGGATCCTTCTTGCCTGCCCTCTTCTTTCTTTGGAAGGTCGCAGGACTGTGCAGGAGTTGATACACTTTGGTCTCATTCTTTAAAAATGGTTTTAGAAAAATATTCTGCAGTTAAAGATGCATCCTGGCTTTTTTCCACAAATAGAATTAGGACAAGAAAAGCCCAGCTTTGCCTGATCAAGGACGGATTCCCAGGAATTTTGTCCGAGGTAAGAAATAGAATTTGAGATAACATGACTCAGCGGTCTCAGATGGCAATATAGAAATCTATTTATTCCATTCATTTCTTAGCATTTCCATATCACATTTATTGATAAGTATCTACAGAAAATAATAGGGTTTTTTTTAGTGTCAAAGGATTTAAGAAGTTCTAGTATCTCAGCTGTCTCAGAATCTAAGAATAATGCTAGTCCAAACAATATTAACAAATATAACTACATATGTTGCCATGTAGACAATAATTTTCTCTTAACATGTTAGAAATTCATCTTCATTACTTATCAATTGATCCAAAATCAGTATCTCCACTTACGACCAATGTTTTCATATCATATTTTCCCCAATTTTTAAAATTTAGTTTCCCCATAAAGTTAATTAGCATAGGAAAAGTCAAATATTTTTTTAGGCATTATGTCCCATATGTTTCTGATACAATTGTTTCCAGAGATACTAGAGGGTTAGTATACTATTAACTAAGTTATCTTTCAGTATATGCATACCTGGAAATATGGATTCCATACAAATATAGAACTGATATTTCTTAAATGGATGTTCAGTTATAGGCATCAATTCCAATTTCCACAAAATGCACTAAAATATCCCTAGGAATAGAAATAGAATACAAATAGAAAGTTCTGAAGGAGCTGGCAGATGTGATTGTCATGATCCCGATTAACGAACCCAAGCAAATCAGAACTCTGAGGCTGAGGTCTTCCTCTAAAAACTCATTTATTGGGCACATCATATCGGCACGATCAAATGGAAAGCCAACTCTAAATGTTTTCCACAGTTTCTTTTTTTTTTTTAATATTTTATTGTTAAGAAATTATAATAATACAGTTTTTGTCCATCCGGTTACATAGTATAGGAAAAGGAAATAAATAAGAATAAAGATGTATGTACATATAGATAATCTTTGCTACTCAGTTACATAGTATATAAATATGTACTTATACTGATATGTGCTTATATCATTCTTAATGTATATATATATATATATATAATAGGTCTTTAAAGGTAAATTAATAAATACATGTCATATCTTTTGCTTACCTATATAACCTTTCCTTACTTCATTTTACTTTCTACAATCTACGGTACATCTTCTCTTACTATGTCATTTGACTATTTCTTGTACTCAATCTAGTCTCTTCCATTTTCTTGTACTCAATCTAGTCTCTTCCATTTTTTTTTTATTTCATTTTCCTCTTCTCTAACCACCCGTACCAATTGTCCCACACGCTATAATAGTATCTTCTCTGTCATTGATTTCCAACGTTAATTTATTCATCTCGGCACATTCCATTATTTTACCGATTACTTGTTCCTTAGTTGGTATTTTTTTTCTCTTTCCATTGTTGAGCAAAAGAGATTCTTGCTGCTATTATTATATGCACTGCTAGGTATTTCTTCTTTTTTACCATTTCCGTCTTCAGAATTCCCAGGAGGAATATTTTAGGATCTAATTCAAAAGTTTCACCTATTATTTCTGAAAGCCAATTGCCAATCATCTTCCAATATTTTTTAGCTTGAGGGCAGGTCCACCAGCAATGGTAAAAAGTGCCTTGCTGATGACCGCACTTCCAACACTTTGGACTTAGGTTGGGATAAATTTTGGCAATCCTAGCTGGTGCTAGGTGCCACCTATAGATCTTATACTGGTTTTCCTTGTATGTGGTTGCCTTGGTGAGTCTTACATTGTTATTCCATATTTGGTCCCATTCTTCCAAATTTATATTTTTCCCAATATTTTTGGCCCATGCTAACATTGGATCTTTAACCACCTCCTCCATCAGGTCATATTCTACCAAATAATTGTACAATTTAGCCAGTAATTTATTGTCCGTGCTTATCCAAATCTTATCGAAATCTTTGCTACCCATTTCTATACCGTATTGTTCTTTATCTTTTTTGTACCTTGATTTTATCTGTGCGTATGTCCACCATTCTATGTGAGTATCTTGTTCTTTTAACTGTTCTATTGTTTTGAGATTTCCTGCCTCGTCTAATATTTCTTTATATTTCACCATTTTATCAAGTTCCAGAACGTTTGGGTATATTATCGCCTCCATAGTTGAGAGCCAACTGGGGATTTTAGTATAATGTTTTCGTCTTATTTCTTCCCAGGTTAACTTCAATATATCCCTCAATTTGTGTTTATTAAAGTATGTTTTTGTTTTTTTTCCCTGTTTCCCATAGGAAGGCATGCCAGCCTTTCTGAAGATCATGCCCTTCTAACGTTAAAATTCTTTTGTTCGCCAAGGTCGCCCAATCTTTTAACCAATTCTTTTAGAATTGCTGCTTTATGATAAGTTTCCCAAATAGGTAGTCCAAGCCCTCCTCTATCTTTTTTATCTTGTAAACTCCTAATTGCTATTCTTGGCTTTTTTCCTCCCCAGATAAATTTCCTAATGATGGCATCAAGTTCTCTGAAAATTTTTTTGTCTAATTTAATTGGCGCCGTTTGAAACAGATACAACAATTTAGGTAAGACACTCATTTTGATTGTCGCTATCCTCCCTAAAAAGGAAATCTGGAGCTTCCCCCATTTCTCTAAGTCTTGTTTTATGCTTTTTACCAAAGGGACATAATTGTCCTCTTTGAGGGCTGAATATTTTGTTGAGATCCACACTCCCAGGTATTTAACTTTCTTCACAATTTGTATTCCCATGGATTCCTCCAGGGCTTCTTTCTGATTTTTTGTCATATTTTTGGTGAGCATTTTGGTTTTAGATTTGTTTAATTTGAGCCCCGCTACTTCTCCATACTTGTCAAGTACATCCAATATTTGTATGCCTGTTTCCACCGGTTCTTCCATGATTAAGACGACATCATCCGCAAACGCTTGGACTTTATATATTTCCTTCCTGATTTTGAGCCCTTTAATTTGGTCACTCTCCCTAATCTTCTTTAATAACACTTCTAGTGCCAATATATACAGAAGTGGTGACATTGGGCATCCCTGTCTTACTCCTTTACTGATCTGAAATGTTTTAGTGAGTTCGCCGTTTACTAAGATGTTAGCCCTTTGCTTCTCGTAAATCGTGTTTATTGTGTTTGCAAAATTTTGTCCAAATCCCATTATATCAATTTGTTGCTTTATAAATTCCCAATTCAAATTGTCGAAGGCCTTCTGGGCGTCTAAAAAAACTAATGCCACCTCTTTGTCCGGGTGTTTCTCATAATATTCTATCACATCCAGAATCGTCCTTGTGTTATTCCTAATTTGCCTCCCTGGGAGGAATCCATTCTGGTCACTATGTATTATCTTATTGAGGATTCTTTTTAGTCTTTCCGCTAATATGCTCATGTATATTTTATAATCAATATTGAGAAGAGAAATTGGCCTATAATTCTGTATCAATTTGGTATCTGTTCCTTCTTTTGGTAGGAGTGTAATATAAGCCTCTCTCCAAGATTCTGGTATTTTATTTTTCAGTAGGGCCTCATTAAAAATTTCAAGCATTCTTGGAAGTAGAATGTCTTCTAATTCTAAGTTTTTATATAATTCCCCTGGGAATCCATCCGGGCCCGGAGATTTATTCTTTTTCAGTTTGGCAATTGCTGTTTTTAACTCTGTCAATGTAATCTCTTTATTCAACATCTCTTTTTCCTCCTCTCCGATCTGTGGCATTCCCTCCTCCAATAGATATTGTTTTACTTTCTCTTTGGGAATATCTTCTTCTTTATATAAAGACGCATAGTATTCGCATGCTATTTCCAGTTTTTCTTCCTCCTTGGTTACAATGTGGCCTTCCAGGTCCTCTAATTGGAAAATAATTCCTTTCTCTCTCTCTTTTTTAATTCTATAGGACAACCACCTGCCTGGCTTATTGGCGTTCTCAAAACAATATTGTTTTGTTCTCTTAATTTCATGTGCTAATTTTTCTTGATCCATTATATTTAGTTTATGACGAATGGTCATCCAATTTTCTTTTATTGTTTCATTATCAGGGTTTTGTTGTGCCTCTTTCTCTGCCTTTGCCAGTTCTTCTAGCAATGTTCTTTGAGCTTCTCTCCTCTCTTTGTTTCTGTATGCTCTGTATGCTATCATTAGGCCTCTTAAATAGGCCTTCATCGTATCCCAGATTATTCCCCGATCCATTGGTTCTTTTTCATTTTCTTCAAAAAAGTTTGTTAGCTCCCCTCTAACTTTATCAATATTTTTTTGTCTCGTAGGAATTGTATGTTCATTCTCCATCTCGTATTCTTTCTCTTATATCTACTCTTCCATCTAATTTCCAGTGGGTTATGGTCTGCCCAGGTGTTGGGTAAGATCTCTGCTGATACAATGTCCATTCCCATATTCCTGCTCACCTACATCATATCTATTCGAGACCATGATTTATTAGGATTAGAATAGAAAGTGTACTGTCTTTTATTGGGGTGTAATGTTCGCCAAATGTCTACGAGATTTAGTTCATCGACTAAGTTGAAGAAGGTTTTTGGTAGATTTTTCCTTTTTTTCTTTTGTCCTCTGGGTCTTTTATGATCTTTATTTGCGTCTACCACTCCATTGAAGTCCCCAATGATGCAAATATTGTTATTATCCATTCTCCTTATTATTTCTCGCGTTTTATTGTAAAACTCTTTCATATTTTTGTTTGGAACGTAGATCGCTGCTATTAATATTGGAGAGTTGCCTCTCTTAATTTCAACTATTAGTAATCTACCTTTTGGATCTGCATATTTCAATTCTGTTTTTATCTCTTTTTTGATATATAGTGCCACCCCTCTCTTCTTTTTCATAGCTAAGGAGGTATAAAGATTCCCCAATTTTTTATATTCCAAATATTTTTTGTCTTCTTGTTTAATGTGTACCTCCTGGAGACAGACTATATCTACATTTTGAGTGACTAATTTATTAAAGAAAGTTTTTCTTTTTTTTATAATCATTAAGTCCATTTACGTTGATCGATAGGATTTTGCAATCATCCATCCTTTTTGCCTTGTGTTGTTTTACTTGAATTTAAGGTTGGTGTTTGCTCAAACCGCTCTTTGTGGTCTTTGTTTCTTCCCTGCTTCTCTGCTTTCTTTCTCTTCCTTCTCTTTCTCCTCTAAACTCTCTTTCCCCTCCGGGGTCCCTTCTTTGGATCTTCTTTGGGTGAGTTTCTCTTCTGTGGTAGCTGCTTCCAATTCCTCTTTACTACTCTGTTCATCTTCTGACCCTCTCAGTTGGTCAAGGAATTCTTGAGCCTCCACCAGGCTGTTTATTTTAATTTTCCTCCCTTGCAATGTAACCAGCATACCCTCTGGCAAGGTCCATCTGAAGAGTATATTCCTTTTGTTCAACTGTATGGCGAGGAATCTATAGTCTCTTCGTTGTTCTCTCACCCTCCTCGGCACTTGCTTAAAGACAACCACCTCCCTTTCCTTATAGTTGATTGGTTCTTCCTTTACCATTTTATAAAAAATATCTTTAACTTTCTTCCGTGCAAATCTTATGTGTACCTCTCTAGGTAGTTTGTTCCGTCTGGCGTAGTTCGTCTGTACCCTGTACACCTCGTCCAGTTCTTTTATTATGTCGTCTGTATCTTGTTGAAGAACCTCCGCTATTAATTCTGCCATTACTTGGCCCAGGTTTTCGTCCTTATCTTCTGCAATGTTTTGGAAACGCAGATAGAAAGAAGCTCTATCCATTTCCAGCTGCGTAATCGAATCTTCCAGATCCCGGTTCTGGGCCATAAATTTTTGATCTACTGTCTCTAGGTTCTTCTCTTGTTGTTCAATCTTAGATTCCATTTTTTGTATTCTCTGTTCGTTCTTTTGTATAGCTTGTTGTATGTCACTCATTTTCTGGTTAATGCTTTGTATGTCTGTTTTCAATTCTTGATGATTGCTGGACATCTTCTCTTGCATTAAGAGCATTGTCTCTTGAATCGTTGCTAATGACAACTGCATCGCTTGCATTGTTGGAATCACTGATGATTTCTCGCTTTTTGATAGCGCTTCTATCGACTTTTGGGTTGCAGGGGACGACATTGTAATTGTGGGGTTTGAGAAGCTGGAGGTTACTTTCTTTCCTGTTTTTGTCACAGTGGATGCAAGACTTGTCATCTCCCTCAACACTTTCGCCTGTTCTCTGACTATCTTTTCTATGTTCCTCCAAATAATCATCCACTAATTGTTTTTCCCTTTACTTAGATTAACAGGACTAGGAATTGTTTTAAAATATTCCCAATTTGCAGACAAATATTAAATAGCACAATCAAACAGTTTAAAGACAATATTTCTTATTTAGCTTAAATTCTGATTATCAATTAATTAAATTCTCAATTCATAAAAAGGCTCTCAGTACATATATATATATATATAGTCAGCAGGAGGCCAGTAAGTTAATGCTCAATAGCCAATCAGTAAACAATTCATTAATTAATATTATAAGATAAATCACTGTTAAAAAAAAAATAATCCTTAATAATATTAGGCAATATAGTCAATCTATGCACATAACAAGCAAAAAAAAAGGAAAACAAGAAAAGAGAATAGATCCTAATATGACTATGCAGATATTTAACCTTATAATACACTAGTTATTTGATGCAATACGAGTTATATTCAACTTTGTAAATATGTTAATTAGCTACGTTATATTGATATTTTTAATACTTTAAATACGTAAATACTTTAAATACTTATATAGATACTTTAAATACTTTAAATGTATAAAGAAGAAAAAATAGATATAAATATATTGTAAATATAGACTAATTTTAAACTAATAATAATCTATGTAGGTACAAATTTTTATTCAGTTCTTCTTAGTCCCTTCAGGAACCACACTTGTTAAAGTCTGTGCAGGAAAGTATGATAGTTTTATTTCTCGCTTCTTTAGAATCTTATGAGAATGAGTTTAATTATTCCACTTGTCACTTCCTGGTACTCCTTCTTTCCTCTCTAGCTCTTCGTTGTTCTTCTCGTTGGTATCAAGTATGGTTGCACTTCCAGTCCTAATTTCCGGTCGTTCTCCTTTCCAATCAGCAAAATCTCTTTCCTACGTCTTCAGAGCTCTCTTGATCGATCCACACAGCAAGTTACATCCAAATCAGGTAGCACCGCTGTTCCGCTTGCCAATCTCTCCTTCTTGTTTCTTGCCGGCCTGTCTGCGATCCTATCAGCTGTCAAATCCTCCTCTTTCTTTCAGTCACCGCTTTTTCCTCCTATGAGACCTTTCGATCCGACCCAGCCAGCAAAGCTCTTGCCGATCTCAGGCGTGCTCTAGAAGAAGTGGTTACGAGTACACTCCGCCTCTCTTTCCCGGAATTTTTGCTTCCCGTCTCGTTAGCTATCGTGGCTTCGAGTCTGCCATTAACAGGCAGACGCGCTCCGTTAGATTGACAGTGGATATCGGTCCCGCCGGGTGGGTTTGCGCTCCACCATTCGACTCACTGAAGCCCCACTATTGTCCGCGAAGCCCTCCAGGCTTCCACGCCTCGAAGGGTCCCCAAAACGTAGCGTTAAGTGGCAGTGGGAAGGAGCGATCGCTCTTACCATGCCATGTCGCCACAAGTCACCAACCGGAAGTCTCTTTCCACAGTTTCAGTATAATTAAAATAGGAAATAACACCCTCTCTAAGTCACAGGTCATGTTTGCCAATTAGGTTAATTGGCAGGCTCTCCAGGCACTCCTCCCCATCTCTATCCACACCCATAGAGATGACCTTGGTTCCCATGAGAAAGTTACGTGTTTTTTTCTAGCAACATATTTCATTCCCCACCCCCCTCTGTGTGGCAACTGAGGAATAGAAAAATGGCTTTTGCCAGGTTCGATTCAAAGTTGATGGTGATAATTGGAACCACTGAACAAAATATTTCAGAGCCCCTGGAGCACGGGTAAACTGGCAGATTGGAAAAGAGGTGATGTTCCAATTTTCAAAAAAGGGAAAAAAATTGCAACCAGGAAACTACAAACTAATCAGCTTGACATCAATAGGCAGCAAAATCCTAGAAAAAAAATAAGTAGCAGATTTGCAAGAAGCTAGAAATGAACAAGGTGATTAATAGAAGCCAACATGGGTTTGTTTTAAAAACTGTTCCAAACAAATCTTATTGCCTTCTTTGATAAAGTGACTAAGTCAAGGAAATGTTGTTGACATACAGTAATTTACTTAAACTTAATTAAGACATTTGACAAAGTAGATCACAGCCTACTTCTAGATAAGATAAAACCGTATGGGATAGATGGATTCATAGTTGGCTGACCAACTGCACTCAGTGTGTGGTCTTTGAGGAAACTATCTACATGGAGGGAACATGCAGTGCACCTCAAAGTTTTGTATTCTTCAACATCTTCATAAATGATCTAGATGAGGGAATAGAGGGAGTGCTCATCAAATTAGCAGATAACAAAGCTAGGGGGAGTTGCTACCACTTTGGAAGACAGACTCAAGAATCAGAAGGATCTTGACAGACTTGAGCTTGATCCCTAACTAGCAAGATGCAGCTAGGTGGTGAGGAAAGTAAGATCCTGCACTTAGGCAGGAAAAACCAAATGCAAAGGTACAGAATAGCCAGTACCTAGCTCAACAGTACTAACTGAGAGGGATCGGGGTATCCTAGTGGTATAAGCCAGCAGTGTGCTGCAACTGCCAAAAATGTTGATGCAAAATGTTGATCAACAGAGGAATAGCATCAAGATCATGAGAAGTGATAGTACCTCTTTATATTGCACTAGTGAGGCCACATCTGGAATACTATATCCAATTCTGGTCAATAAAAAAAATGCTGAGATCCTAGAAAGTGCAGAAAAGACTAACAAAGATGAGGAGAAGTCTGGAGGCTAAATAAATGATTAAGGAAACTAGCTACCATGTTTCTCCAAAAATAAGACCCTGTCTTATATATTTTTTTAACCCTGAAATAAGCGTTTGGCCTTATTGCCATATGCTCAAAAGCCCGATTGGGCTTATTATCAGGGGATGTCTTATTTTGGGGGAAACAGGATATGTCTAGCCTAATGAAGAGGATGATTAGAGGTTACATGATAGCTCTCTTCCAGTACTTGAGGTGCTGTCACACAGAAGAGGGGGTGGACCTATTCTCCAAAGAACCTGAGGGTAGGACAAGAAGCAATGGGTAGAAGTTCGTTGAAGAGAAATCCAACCTGGAACTAAGGAGAAATTTCCTGACAGTAAGAACAATTAATCAGTGGAACAGCTTGCCTCCCAGAGTTGTAGATGCCCCATCACTGGAGGTTTTCAAGAAAATATTGGACAACCATTTTTCTGGGATGGTATATGGTCTTCTGCCTTTGGCAGGGGATTGGACTGGAAGACTTCCAAGGTTTCTTCCAGACTTACGATTCCTTTCTGTTCTGTTCTAATAATAGTGGAACTGAATGTCTGGTTACACAAGCAAGTCTCAGAAAGAGAGATCTGGTTTCAAGAAACATAGTCCAAATTATTGGTGAAGTGCTGTCATTGGTTTGAGCAATACCCTTTAAGGATTCAGAGATTATGAAACAGGTGTTGATGTCAAACTGAACTTTGCAGAAGCCATTTTCCTGATTCAATGTTGCCACACTGCATGGGAGGGGGGAAGTAGGCTGGAATGCATTGCTAGACACAACATAGATCTTTCTTATAAGAATCAAGGTCATCTCCTGGGCGATGAAGGAAGGAGGAGATGAATACATGAGAAGTCCGCCACCTAATTGAGCAACATGGTTAATGACACTGGAGGGAAGGGGTCATTACTGGTTTTAACTATACTGTAACTGCGGGGAAAGTCAGAGTTGGCTATCCTTTGAAGTGTACCGATATGTTTTATCCAATAAATAAGTTCTTTGAGGAAGTGCTTGACCTCAAAGTTCTGATTTGCTTGGGTTCATCAGTTGGAACCTTTACAACAGGTTGAATGGCAGGACAACCAATATAATAAAGAAATTATGTCTTATGAAGAGAGAACGAAGAAACTAGATATGTTTACTTTGAGAAGAGATGAGTGATGATGGATATGATGGGATTCTTCAAATAACTTGAATCAATTAGAAGACGAATGGATTTCCCACCAATGTTAGGAAAACTTTCCCAATGTAAGACCAGTTTGGCAGTCGAACCAGTTATCCTGGGAGATAGTAGACTTCTTTTCATATAGTGCTTTTTTTTTGCAAAAAGTTTTTTTTTCCCCCCAAACACACAAATTACATCTTTTCAGAACAGAGCTTTGATCCGGTCATCAATATTCGTTTTTACTCCAGATCGTGTGTCTCTGCAATCCACAATTTCCAGCTGTTTAAAAAGTATCCATTTTGTTTCAATTAATAACAATCTTATTTAGCTTCTCTTTTTCTTTTAGGTTTAAAAGTACCAAATCATATTTAAAGTCCAGTACAAATTTAAATAACTCTTCTCACTTCTCCCCCCCTTTTTTTTCTTTTATTTGTACATCACTTCTTTTTTAAAGCTTATTATCCATTCTTTTTGTGTGTTTTTTTGAAATTTAAAAAGAGAGAAGAAAAAAAAAAGGATTTCTTTATTTCTTTCCAATTCTTCGATCATTCTCAAATTGTTTAAGGTTTCCAAATAGTGTCTTAAAGTAGAGTCTAGACATCTCTCTGGAATATTTATATATTCACATTCTGTCCCATGGCTGAAGAAATGTATTGTCTCCCCCACCACCTGTAAGAAAATGCAGTACTCCTCTCTGGCTTCTTTGGAAATACAGGACTACATTATGTCTGTGACAATTGTAATTGGCCCTAATTCTTTTCTGTTGCTATCTTGCAGTGGAGCCATGGGGAACACCACAAGTGAAAGGATGTCAGGTGAGCGTCACAGTTCCAAGATTCATCGCTCAGAGGGAGCCATCCACCATGCCAAAGATCATTCACACAAGATCATGGTTGGCAGCACTGATGACCCCAACATCTTCAGCACCCATGAATCTAAGGTATGCTTTTTATGGTTTGATGCTTTTTATGGATGATGCTTTTTATGGTTTTCTAACATTAGTACTTGTTCTGATATACACAGTTACAGATTTGATTATAATAATGATTTATGACATAATTAGCCATTTTATGGCCCTTAGATAATTCTCTAGATTACTCTCCTTTATAAAGCTTAAAATAACTTCAAAAAGTGCTCACGCATTACTTGATTATTCCTAAATCTAGTAAATAAGATTTCAATTTTCAAGAAGACTTGGACAAGATATAACTTTTGCTCTCTTTCTGCAGCTTCCTGGAGAAAAAGAGTTTGTATCATGGCACCATGACTTGGATGAGTCAGTTAAACCATCCCAGCAGGCTCGTCCCACAGTCATCCGCTGGACTGATGGAGGCAAAGAAGTTTTCATCTCAGGTTCTTTCAACAATTGGAGTGCTAAGATTCCTCTCATTAAGAGGTAAAACAGGGTGATATGTGATTCTTTTTAAAAACTTTGCTCAATATTATTTATGAAAGGAGAGCATTGTTTGATTCTTATTCTACACAAGGCAAGAAGCATTGGCTTTAAATACTTTAAGCCCAACTAAAATGTGCTGTTTTCATGTAGAAATTCTGAAATGAATCAGATATCAGAAATGGAGGATTCCTAACAGGTAATATAAAAGAACATTTTTTAATGAGAGCAGATCCATGCTTTCTGGATCTGAATGAAAAACATGTCTATATGAAAAAATATGTTTGAATGACCTTCTATACTTTTAAGTCATTGTGGGCGCCAAGAATCTTACAGGAACCAGACTGGGCTAGTTTATAAAGCAGCAAATAATGAACATTAGTTATATGTCAATCTCTTTTCCAAAAAATACTGAAATGAGGTTTTAATCTATTTCATCTTAACTTCAGATCACGTCAGGGTAAGAGTATTTTTGTTGAGAATAAGGGGGAAATAGAGTTATAGTTCTCTATTGGCTTATGGGACAGTATTAGGTTCCATACAAAGTCAAATACAATCAAATACAGTCAAATACAACTTATATTATCCACCACAAAGGAACTCAGTGTCTCTCACTCTGGCTTATCTATTCCATTCCATTCTATTCCATTTCATTTATTAAACTTTTGTGCTGCCTATAAGGCTGACTCTGGGCTGCTTACAATATAGCAGTACATAGAGAGTACTTGTAAACTCCAGCTTAACTTTCAGGCTCTAAAACTAATGATATGTGAAAAGTATTGAATGTTTTGTCAGATTTTGTCTCCATAGACCATCTGTAGTTTTTTTCATTCTCTCCCCCTTTCAAACATCTTAGTGTCCCCAAGTGTAAATCCTTACAGCCAGAAAACAGGTGTCTTCCCAGACTCTTACCGGGTCAAGGTTGACTCGGCCTTCCATCCTTCCAAGATTGGTAAAATGAGGACCCAGATTGTTTGGAGGCAATATGCTGAATCTGTAAATTGCTTAGAGCAGGGGTCCTCAAACTACAGCCCGTGAGCCAGATATGGCCCGCCAATGCAAAGCATCCGGCCCGCGGAGTGGTGGTATTAAGCCCCACCCCCTTACCCTCGGCCTTAACTTCCAGCGAGCATCCACTCCAGTCACACTTCTTTCACCGGTTGAGCTGTACTTCTGATCACACAGCTACTGCCGAAGGTAAGGCCGAAGGGTGTGGGGGAGGGCCAGTGAGGGGTGATATCGCTGGTGCAGCTTGAAAAGCTTGCAAAAGTGCTGCCTTAAATTAAAAGCCTTTGAAAACAATTTAAATGGGATCTTTTTCACAGTTTGAATGGGGGATGGGGGTGCTTGCCTTCTCTGAGCTTGCAAAATTGTTGCCTTAAATTAAAAGCCTTAATTTCACAGCCATGTGAACCAGTGCCAGTGTTTGAGTAGGGAAGGGGCTGCTTTTAAAGTAGCACTTTAAAAGTGGGTGGGTGGGGGATATGTCTTCATGTCTCCTAGCTTTTGCAAAATCAGCTGAAGTTGGCTAACACTAATTCAAATGCAACTGCAGTATAATGCCTAAAGGAGAATTCACCCACTGCTTTGATTTTGCCATATATAAAGTACATCCACCAAATTGGTTGCTGAACAATTTTGGTAGCTTTCATGTGTGTGGATACACAGGCACAAGTGTGGCAAAAAACCAATCAGTTTGAATTCTCCTTCAGGCTTAAAAGACCTTTAGCCTTGTAATCCCAAATAATTTTTAAAAAAGTAGTCTGGTCTCCTATCCCTTCCCTGGCCACCTCCCCTGTTGGCAGATACTCACAGGTCCTGCTTTGGCTACTTGCAAAGAGCCCCAAAGGCTTTGGCTGGAACCAAAGGGGAAGGAACCACATGGGCCCATAGAGAGGAGAAGGAAGGAGCATTCACTGACTGCTTCTCTCAGCCTATCATTACTTCTGTGCTATAGTGATCCCTATTTTTTGTAGCTCTATAATTATTGGTATCTTACTAATAGCAATTTTGCATCCCTAGGAAACATGTCAAAGAAAAGAAAAATTGACTCTGAGTGCAGCATCTTCAAAGAACAGTGGACTTATGATTACTTTTTCATGCAGTACAAGGAAAGAGCTGTTTGTCTGATATGCCAGGATTTAGTGGCTGTGTTCAAAGAATACAATTTGCGTCGACATTATGAGACTCGACATAAAGACAAATATGATTGTTTGATCAGACAAGCAAGAAAAGATAAAATATTAAAACTGAAAAATAGATTGACAACGCAGCAAAATGCTTCTGTGAAGCAGAAGCAGGTAAATATGTCATCACTGTGAGCAAGTGTTCAAGTTGCCAAGCTAATAGCACGCACTGGCAGACCATTTGTAGAGGGAGAATTTGTTAAAGAATGCCTTCTTTCTGTTACTAAAGAGAAGAGAAGGCTGTTTTATTTAGTACAGGACCTACAATCACGAGAAGGATTGAAGAAATGGGGGACAATTTGCATCAGCATTTGCAAAACTCCTCAAATAAACTTCGCTATTTTTCATTGGCACTCGATGAAAGCAATGATGTTCGTGATTCTGCACAACTTCTAATTTTCATTCGTGGGACAAATGATTGTTTTGAAGTCACAGAGGAACTTGCTGCACTGAAAAGCATCAAAGGAACAACAACAGGAGAGGATATCTTTGAAAAGGTCCACCAAACTGTGAATGATTTGAAGCTGGATTGGGCTAAACTAGCCAGTGTGACAACTGATGGTGCTCCTACCATGATGGGATGTATGAAAGGAGTGGTTGCATGCATTAACAAAGAGATGGACAAACACAACCATTTACATCCAATAGCCATACACTGCCTCATCCACCAATAAGCGCTATGTTGTAAGTCACTGAAATGGGACTCTGTCATGAAAGTTGTGGTATCTTGTGTTAACTTCATTAGGGCACATGCAGTAAACCACAGACAGTTTCAGGAATTTCTGTCTGAGCTAAATGTTCCCAATGGAGAGATTTTGTACTACACAGAAGTCTGTTGGCTGAGTCGAGGGAAAGTTTTGAAATGTTTCTATGACTTACTTCCACAGGTTTCTGCTTTTCTAATTTTAAAAAACAAAGAGGTAGCAGAGCTCAAAGATGAAGAATGGAAATGGCACCTTGCCTTTCTGACAGATGTAACAGAGCTACTGAATAGTTTGAATGTGCAACTTCAAGGAAAGGGGAAACTCATCTGATATGCTTTCAGATGTGAAGGCATTTGAAGTAAAATTGGGCCTCCTCATTAAATAAGCGAAGGAGGAAAACTTCTGCTATCTCCCTACTACTCAAAAGCTGTTGGCTGAAAAACCAACAGTTGCGTTCCCAAACAAAAAGTGTGTGGATTCACTGGAAATGTTGCAAATGGAGTTTCAAATTAGATTTAAAGAGCTTCGTGCACATGAACAGGACATACAGCTTTTCCGGAACCCATTTTCTGTTGACATCGAAATTATTGATCCAATTTACCAAATGGAACTGGTTGAACTAAGAATTGTGACTCTCTCTCTGAAAGACACATTCAAGTCAAGCAGCCTTACTGATTTCTATGCATCTCTCCCCTCTGAGACATATCTTCATCTCAGGAACCATGTACTCAAAATGGTAACCATCTTTGGTAGCACCTATATCTGTGAACAGACTTTTTCCCAAATTAAATAACTGAAATCTCCAACCAGATCCAGACTAATTGATGAACACTTGCATCACTTGTTATGACTGGCAGTGACAAATATGGAACCGGACATTGACTTTCTCATCAGCCAAAAGCAGGCCCACACTTCCCATTGAATTGGTAGTATATTTTTGTTGGTTAAAATTGTTCTTCATTTTAAATATTGTATTATTTAACATTTTTGCACTACAAATAAAGATATGTGCAGTGTTCATAGAAGTTTGTTCATGTTTTTTTCAAACTATAGTCTGGCCTCCAACAGTCTGAGGGACCATTATCCCTCCTTAATTCGCCATTGGATGCTTGGGGGGGGGTGTTGTGTTGATTCTCGCCTTCTGCCTGCTTCCAATGTCTCTCAAGTCCATCTTGGGGATTTTAGTTGCAGTCTTAATTGCTGCAGTTCTCAGTCTGGTTTATTGTGTGGTCATCTGAAACATATGATCAGATGACCACACACATTTTTGAAGGCAATCCTGTTTGTTTTATTCCTTTTTCAATGGCCTATTTTAAGGAGCCTGAAGCTGCTGTTGTAATGAAGTTAGGCAAGTGGCAAGAAAGTTTGTGCTCTTTTTCCCTTTGGGGGGGGTGGATCTAATTAAGTAAATAGATTCCTTGGCTTGAGCAAGTACAGCTTAGGAAGGAGAAAGGCATAAAATGGACAGTTGAATTGGCCATGCCCACCCAATCACATTACCACCTAGGCACGCCCACCCAGCCAGCTCGCCCCCCCCCAACAGTTTGAGGGACTGTGAATCAGCCCCCTGTTTAAAAAGTTTGAGGACCCCTGTCTTAGAGAGTACTGTAAAGCACTGTGAAGCAGTATATAAGTCTAAGTGCTGCTGCTGTTCCACAAGCAAAGGAATATTCACCAGATTCCTTCTAAAAAATGGAATGCCTCTATACATTGGCACTTTGACAGCATTCTAGATTCAGAATTAAATAGAGAATGCAGCATAACAGTGATAGATGTTGCAGTGATTAGACTGCTCTTTCAAGCTTCACTAAATGAGGGGGAAACTGTCTTCAATAACTAGCTTGAATAATATCCATGAACAATTAGGAAATGAAATGTGTCTCTGAATATTTCAACATCCAAATCAGTACTTGGTACCTTATTGCACTTGTGCCATTCTTGTGTGCTTCAGTTTCAAGTTGACATAGGGAGTATCCAATTAAAGAAACATGGACACCCAAGTTTCAAATTATTTATCATTTTTTATTAAGCAATAACATTTGAAACTTACCACGGTTGATCTTTCTTCTGTGACTATTTTTCTTTTCAAAAAGATGCTGCTTTATGAAGAAATAAAAAATATGACATGACTTATAAAAGGAGAAACTGATGAACATCATCTTTGGCTTAGTATTTCTTTTGGGGCACCAGAACTTACATTGCCATTTGTGTTGCAAGATGGTACTAGGCTATTGCCCTGAAGAATCCTATTTTTGAAATGTTGACAGAGTGAGAGTCTAGTTTAAAAAAGCAAGTCTGAAGTGTAAAGGTTTAGCAATTAAGGATGAATGCTGGTCTTCTGAAAATCTGCTCTGTCCCACTGCTCCCAAATCTATCAAACTCTCTATTTGATACTAGTAGAGAAATAGGTACAAATATGGGAAGTGGTTGGAAATGAGGCAGAAAGTTCTGTGATGGATATATTAGTCCTCCCATTTAGATTAGGACTGTGTAGATATGCTTCATTCTGGTTGAAGATAAGTTCAGATGGTTAAGATGAACTCCTTGCAGTTGGCCATCTGGGAGGTCAGTGCTTATCCAGAATGGCCAGACTCACTTTGACCTGCTCCCATCTCATTCTAAAGGGATTATTTGATTACTTTCTTTGTTTACAAATTATTTTTTGAGCAGCCCTGTTAAATCAGTTCCATAGGATTAGAGGGAATCGTTGAGATCATCTAATCCAACTGCCTGCCCATTGCAGGAATCCTCATTTCATCTTGGAAAAAAGGCCACCCAAACTTTTCTTGGAAGTAACTATAACTTCAGGAGGCAGGTGCTCCACTGCATAATTGTCTCACAGTTTAGAAAGTGACTATTTCCATTTTCATTAATTTGGTAGGTCGCCTTTAGGTTCATTAATGAAAACTTTCATGAAGTAGCTGTGCATATTCTTTTTGAAACAGTTGAAGCTGCTTAAACCAATCTTCATCTTTTACTTTGGCTGAGTTTGTCTATGGCTGAGTCTGTCTTGCTGATTTTATCCAAGCTAGATAAAAGAATCAAGACAGGCCATTTTCTTGCATGTATATATGTGCTGTGTTTCTCACTGTGGATTACTCTCTTCTTTCAGCCATAATGACTTTGTTGCTATTCTGGATCTTCCTGAAGGTGAACACCAGTACAAGTTCTTTGTAGATGGCCAGTGGGTTCATGATCCCTCTGAGGTAATTCTATTTTCTTCCATCTGTCTTCACCCTGATGGCTGAGAGGCCCTGCAAAATATGAGTATGGATGAGGTAAGGCTTGGCACCTCACAGGCATCCTGCCATCAAAGGTTGAAAGGAGGTGGGGAGGTGGAGGACAGAAGGGCAATAAAGCTGTGTGTGTACATGATGGATAGAGAGGAGGGAATGACAGGTGATAAATACTGGAGCAGCCCAGATCCAGTTTGTACCAGCATCCCAAGGCCAGGCACCCTGAGAAAACATATAGATTACTCCAAACATCTCAGCGTTCTCAAAACATATTGGCTGGAAACGGACTGGTCATGCGGGGGAGGGATGGGTTGCGGGCAAACCTTTCTGTATCTTGTGAGCATGGGAAAATTCAGAGTTAGCCTCACTTTACTGCAGCTGACACCTAAAGTAAAAGAACACTTTGCTTTAACCAAATGGAGTCATGGGGTCTTTTTTTCCTAAGGGATCAAATTGCGGCAAACTAACATTAGGCTAGCTCTGCAGTTGTGGTCAACCCAGAGAGAAAAACACCTTTGCCACATTTACACCTCTGTGTAAATGATGTCAGCTCAAAGGAGTGACCAGGAAGAGACTGAAGCCTAGAAGGAAGCATCCTCAAACCCCCCTCCTGGAGAGCTGGATCTATCCATCTGAATCTGTCCAGTGGCTGGGAGAGGATGACCCATCAAGACCCCTTCCTTGGTGGGTCAGAAAAAAGGAAGAGTGGAAAGAGAAACCCATGGGAGTGACATTCACCTGTGGGGGCCATGGCAGCTGCCGGAAAGGGGAGCTGGAGGAAGAATCGAGCACAAGCAAGCTGGAGCAAGAGGACTAATGCTGGAGCAAGCCATAAAGTTCCTGAGGGGGGCTTTCGGTAACCTCCAAAGCATGGGAAGCCCTAACCCAGGTGGCACATCCTGCTAACCAGTCACGGCAAGCGATGGGGCAACCATGGACTGCAAGGGGCCCCTGCTATGTTTATGCAGCTAATAAACCAAGTGTTGCATGAACACCTGTACAAGGGAGTGTTAGTTTACCTGAGTGACATTTTAATCTATACTGAGACCATGGCAGAACATGTAAAACTAGTCAGAGGTATCCTCAAGAAACTTTGAGTGGCCAAACTATATGCCAAGTTGTACAAATGCGAATTCTACCAGAGTAAAATTGACTATCTACTAGCTACCTCATTTCCCACGAGGCGATAGAGATGGACCCTGAAAAGGTGCAGGCAGTGCTAGAGTGGGCTCCTCCCTGCATCTAGAAGCAACCAGAAAGCTTCCTGGGATTTGCAAACTTTTACCCCCAATTCATTCCCTTGTTTGCCCAGATAGCCAGTCTTCTAAAGACAAAAGAGGAGGGAAATCCCAAGCCCAGCCAGCCACTTAAATGGACTATGGAGTGTCAGGCTGCATTTGAAAAGCTTGAGCACCTATTTTCAGTGAAGCTAGTGCTGAAACACCCAGACTCCAACACCCCGTTTGTCATTCAGGGTGATGCCTGTGATATCACAGTGGGCGCAGTGCTTCTGCAGGAAAATGAGCAAGGTACAACCATGCACCTACATTTCTAAAAAGCTAAATGAGATGTAGCGGAGATGGGCGGATTGGGAGAAGGAAGCCTATGCAGTATGCGGGGCACTCCTAACTTGGAGGCATTTTCTAGAAGACGGGAAAATCCCATAGACTGACCATAAAAACTTAGAAGCCTTGAACACCACCACCACCCTGGAGACTATCGCCCAAATAGGCCCAGTGAACCTGGTACTTTAATCAATTCAACTCCACATTACGATATCTTGCAGATGCATTATCAAAGCTGCCACAATAGAATAGTTTCTAACAGATGCTTTATCCATCCTGCCGCTGTCAGGTTTCGGTGCTATCTTGAATAAACTTCATTCTCAAACGCAAACTCTAATGAATCACTTTTATTTTAAGAATAGCCGAGTCCGACATTCCTGATTTCATTTTGCAGCCAAACTGGCCCCTCCTTCCAACCCCCTCCTCTTCCGCTCTCCAACCCCAATGTCCCATTGGCCATCATGCAGATCCATCTCTACCTCCCGGCACGTTCTTTTCACAGGAATGTAGCCCCCATCCTCGTCTCCCAGGAAACACTATCTGTACATACAAAACTAGGTAAAAGTTCATCTTGTTATGTCAGCGCTGGAAGAGAGCCTAATTTGGAACGCTGACATCCGGCCCCTCTCCCTTCACTTCTGCGACATCACCTATCCCATAGGGAAAACACAACAAGATTAGTCTCATCAGCCCCTCCCTGGCTGTGCACCCCCCCTCCCGGCTTTCTCGGGTGGTCTGCATGGAATTTTGCTATAAGGCGATCAGCTTGGATGTTTGCGCTCTTCACCCAGGAAGCCTCTGACAATGGGTAACCCTTCCATTTAATTAAGTACTGAAGGCGCCCCCTGTGCCATCTTGAATCAAGAATCCGCTGCACTTCGTAGTGCGTTTGGCCCCCAACAACCAGGGGCCCAGGGGGTTCACGTGGCGTTGGCCTTAAAGTAGACCCCACTACAGGTTTTAGAAGGCTACTGTGAAAAACGGGGTGAATTTTCCCCAAAAGCCGTGGCAACTGCAATTGCACTGTAACGGGGTTGATTATTTTTATTATAGGAAATGGTCCTATAAATTTTGGGCCCAATTTCCTGCTCGGGAGTCTAAGTCTCAAGTACTTGGTGGAGAGGTAAACTTTCTCTCCCAGCTGAAATGGTCTTTGGGGAGTTCGGTGCTTGTCTGCTTGGTCCTTATAAGATTGAGCCGCCTTTGCCAGCGCCCTCTTAACATTTTCCCAAGTTTGTCTCAACATTGCCATCCAGTCGGTCAAACTGACTGAGGAAGGGGGCTCCCTCGGGTATTCTGGCATGGGAACAAAATCCATGCCACTCACTATTTTGAACGGGGTTAGCCCCGTGCTGCTGTGGACAGCATTATTATATGCAACCTCCGCAAAAGATAGGAGGTCTGCCCAATTGGACTGCTGGTAGTCGATGTAGCATCTTAAATACTGTTCTATCATAGCGTTCAGTCTTTCTGCCCCCCCCATTGGTGCTCGGGTGAAATGCTGAGCTGAGCCCTTGGGATGAACCTATGGATCGTAGAAACTCCCTCCAGAACTTTGCTGTGAACTGGACCCCTCTGTCAGAAATGATTCTCCTGGGGACTCCATGTAGGCGGTAAATGTGTTTCAGGAACAGTTTGGAAAACTGACGGGCTGAAGGCAGTCCACTACAAGGAATGAAGTGTGCCTGTTTGGAGAATAAGTCTATTACAGTCCAGATCACTGTATTTCCACTGCTCCTCGGTAGGTCTACTATAAAGTCCATTGCAATCTCCTCCCATGGTCTTGTTGGCTCAGCTACTGGTTGCAACAATCCAGGCGGGCACCCTGGCCTTGTCTTCATCGTGGCACAAATGGTGCAGCTTTTTACATAACTGTCTACGTCCTTTCTCATATGTGGCCACCAGAACTGCCTTCGTACTAGGTGCAGAGTCTTTAGGAACCCGAAGTGTCCTGCTGGTTTAACATCGTGGCTCCTCTTGAGAATCAGGATGCGTAAACTCTGTGGGACATAGAGCTTTGTCCCCCTCCATGCTAGTTCATCTCTTTTTGTCAAGAGATGTTGATTGTCCCGATACCAGGGGTCTGTCAGCGTTTCATTTTTTAATTTCGCAGTTAAGTCACTTGCAAGTTGGCCTTGCTGGTCACGTCGTTGCCATCTGGTGACCACTTGGGCCGCAGCTTGGGTGGAGGGGATGATGGCATTCACTACCTGCTCCCGCTCACTGTTGTATTGGGGCATCCGGGAGAGGGCATCAGCCAGGAAATTTCTCCCACCTGGGATGTGCTTAAGCTCGAAATTGAAACTATTGAAGTATTGTGCCCACCGCACTTGCCTGGGCGACAGTTTTCGTGGGGTTTTTAGGGCCTCTAGGTTTTTATGATCAGTCCAGACTTCAAATGGTTTCTGGCCTCCCTCTAGAAGGTGCCGCCAGGTCAACAAGGCCCACCTTACTGCAAACGCTTCCTTCTCCCACGCCGCCCATCGCCTCTCCGTATCGGTGAGTTTGCGGGAGGTGTAGGCGCAGGGTTGTAGATCACCTTGGTTGTTCTTTTGGAGTAACACGGCTCCTACTGCCACATCACTTGCGTCTGCTTGGATGACAAAAGGCTGTTCTGGATCCGGGTGTTTTAAGACAGGTTCTTTCGCGAACAGTCCTTTTAGCGTCTCAAATGCCTGTTGGCAGGTCAGGTCCCACTGTAGGGGTTGTCCCGGGCGAGGTTTCATCGCTGGGCTTCCTGTCTTTAGGAGGTCTGTCAAAGGTTTGGCAATCTTCGCGAACGAGGGGATGAATTGTCTGTAGAAATTCGCAAAGCCTAGAAAACTTTGCAGTTGTCTGTGGGTGCGAGGGGGCTGCCATTGTAGAACTGATTGGACCTTGGCTGGGTCCATCTCTATCCCCTCATTTGATACTCGGTAGCCCAGGTAGTCTAGCCATGATTGGTGGAAATCGCATTTTGGCAGTTTGACATATAGGTTTGCCCGTAGCAGTTTTTTCAGTACTTGGCGGACGAGGGGTATATGTTCGTCTATGGTCTCCGTGTAGATAAGAGTATCGTCCAGGTAGACGAGAACCCCTTTGTAAAGGTGTTCATGTAAGACTTCGTTTATTAACTGCATGAACACTGCCGGGGCTCCTTGCAATCCAAAAGGCATTACTTTAAACTGGAAACTACCCAGGGGGCAGTTGAATGCTGTTTTCCATTCATCTCCTGCCCTTATGCGTACTCGGTAATAAGCTTCTCGAAGGTCTAGTTTGGTGAAAACCTTCCCTTTAGCTAGGTGGGCTAACATGTCTTTCATGAGGGGGAGGGGGTACAAGTTGTGTACGCAAACAGCGTTGATACTTCGAAAGTCGACCACCAGTCTCATGGAGCCGTCCTTTTTCTCTTTAAACATGACCGGC